GGAGGCGTAATGGTTGATTGAAAAGATTATTTACTTACACCCAAGGTGGTCGCAGTGTAGGCTGGACAGCTTTCCAGGCGCAGCTCCGCTTGAATCCTTGTTGGAGGACTCTGACAAACTCGGTTCTTTGCCCCCAGAGTGGTTTAGGCTCCGCGGGTTCGGCAATTCTTTCCTCAACAAGCAAGGATCCACATCGCTTGGAGATCTTCACACAGCGCGAAGTCTCCTCCTCCTGGTGAGTTCTGTATCTCTCCAGGTTTCCTCTCTCTCTCCAACTTGGGCGGAAACTACCCAAGCCTTTTGTATGGCTAGCAAGCCAATAGCTAGCCGCCACGTATGCCTACATTTAGAACCGGCCAATAATGTGGCACGAATCTAAATACAAATGGCGGGAACTCCTTTGCACCATGCATCACTATGATGCAAAAGAAATGCACCATGCAAAGAAGGCTACAAATGGCGGGAAATACTCTTTTGCACGCGGGTTCTCCTATTGCAGCAGAAAACTCTATCGTGCAAAAAAGCTGCAATTTGGCGGGAACATAATTTAGCGGTGCCTAAGCGCACACAAACAAAAAACCACAACTTTGGGTTGTGACAACCTGTATTGGGCTTGGCCAAGTGACCTCTGCCTGATCCCAAGGGCAGTAGAGTTCTGGTGACATACCGGAGTGGCCAGTTGCCACAGTGGGTGGGGGTGGGGATGAGGAGCAATGCACTGTGGGAGTCCGGAGGGCTAACCCGATCCTAGTCATGGAATGCTTGGTGTCCATTGTAACACTGAACTGCTTCATGTAGCGCCAGTTCAAAATGGTATCCAATTTCTCAGGTACACTTTTGAACCTTTGCAAGAGGTTTAAACTGATCTAAGCTGTCTTGTACATCTGTCTGCTCATGTTTTAAGTTGTGTTTAACCAGTCTAAGCTTTACATGTGTCCATGTCTTAAGTGAGATGAAGTTCAGCCCCATGCCTCTGTATATGTTTTCTTCAGTGCTAAAGTGATGATAATCTGGATGAAGTAAACCAGTATTTCTTGAGGCATGAATAGAAGATTGGCCAATGCTTAGCTAATAATGAGTGATTGATCTAGATATTAAATTGCAGTAATGTAACTAAGTGATGGTGACTCAGACACCAGCCCTGGGAGCAAGTTTGGGGGGAAGCCAAAAATAGCAGCTCCCACCACTAGTCTCCTGGCCACCATGCCACCATCAATAAAGGCTACCATGCCACCACCCAGGACACAACACTGCCCAGTTACATCCCTGTTAATTAGTTCTCAAATATATTAATGCTTAAGCTGAACTGGGTAAGAACGTCAGGAATAGCAATAATGAGAAGGGCACTGGGAGCATATAAAATGGCACTAGTCTGATCATTGCCTTGGTTATTTTTATACCCTCCATTACAGCCCATGCCCTGGTTGATAATTGGTATACTGCATTCTGACTGCCTTAGGGGTATTTACAGTGAAACATGACCTGGAGCCAGCTGAGCCAATATGTTTTGCTAAGACCAGCTGTGCGCTGCTAACACCAGGCCAAACTCCAGTAAGACTGGTGTGAATCGGAAGCACTGCCATTGTCTTCACTAGTAGACTTGATTGAGAAAGAGTTGACTTTGTGTGGAGTCAGTAGAAATCCACAGCAGAGTTAAGCCAGCTGGAAAATTTTCAGTGAAACAGTTTTCCATTCATTCAAACAGTGTTGAGAAAACCAAAACTTTTCACAAGAATATGTTGAGTTCAACCAAGGTTTCCCTGGATTTTTTTTTAACTGGCCTATTTTTATTTCAGCTTTGCACTCCAAGTTTCATTTATTTTTCCTGTTTCTATTACTTTTGTGATGACATAACTTACATGGATACCGGTAATATGTAACAGTATGACATCGTACAGGAGGTAAAATGTTCTCTGATTCTGTCTCATCTTTACAATCAATTAAGGACAGCCACTACTTAATCCTGTTTGGAATACCTTCCTTTGTTTTTTAAATCAGGGGTGTCAAATTCATCCCAATCCCTAGGCCAGATCCAGACCATAGGGCTCTTCCTGGGCCATATCTGTGGAGCTAGAGGCTGCAACCCAGAAGGATCAGGAGTGGTGGTGGGAGTCCAGCAATGACAGCAATGGGGAGGCGGCAGCAGAGGTCCGGGGACAGTAATGGCAGGGAGGAGGCAGCAGCTGGCCAAGTGTCTGCAGGGTAAATGGGATTGTGTCAGCACAGACCTAGCACATCCCCATTGTCACAAACAGCCAGGCCCCAGTGCGGCTTGGGGACCCTACAACAGGCCATTGCCCCCAAATTCTGCAGGTAGCCTGGCAGGCTGTACAGAACAGCTCTGCTGGTCATGTTTGACACCCCTGTTCTAGATCAAAGTGTCCCCTGATTGTATTGTAATGAAGCAGTTTGACTAAGTGTCATAATTTCCTAAGAAACAGGAATCCTAAGTATCTAAGAGCTCTACAGTTGAGGTGCAACTGGTTCATAAATGGGAACATGGTAGAGTGTTAGGCATGGGGGATTACATTTTACATGAGGGTGGAATCACTGTGCCAGGGAAAGCTTTCAGATACATAGTACAAGGAACCCTCAAAGGCAGGTCATAAAACGATAGAAAATGAGGGTTGGAAGGGACCTCAGAAGGTTACATCTAGTCCAACCCCCTACTCAAAGCAGGACTGTCCCCAACTAGATCATCCCAGCCAAGGCTTTGTCTAGCTGGGTCTTAAAAACCTATGAGGATGGAGAGTCCACAACCTCTCTGGGTAACCTGTTCCAGTGCTTTACTCCCCTCCTAGTGAGAAAGTTCTTCCTTATATGTAGCCTGAACTTCCCTTGATGCAACTTGAGACCACTGATCCTTGTTCTGTCATCTGCCACCACTGAGAACAGCATAGCTCCTACACTAGTCAAGCTGCTTTGAGGTCACAGGGTACATACACCGTTTTACACCAGCTGAAGTTATGGCCATTATTATCTCAATGCCTGCCAATTCTGATATACCCCCAGGAAAGGGTATGAGTAGAAAGGGGAGTGTCCATTGATAACCTGGCCTCTTTTTGCTTTGTGCCCCCATACACACACAACCCCTTCTGGGTTCCCAGGAGGCTGAGTTATCTGTGGATGCCCACGTTTTCTGCCAACTTAGGGTGGCCAGATGTGAGGGAGGTACCCGGACCCTTCTTCTATGTATTGAGGTGGGGGGAAGATGAAGGGTTGCAAATGAGTGTCTAGTGAGGACACAGCTGGTTGTTATGTAGTAATGGAGACAATAGCCTAAATTTCCCTTTCAGGGAAAGGCAGGCAAAGCTCTTTGGGCAGATGTGATATCTTTTATAAAATAAAAGGATATAGGCAGGTAAGGTTCTTTGGGTAGATGTGATTTTATAAAAGATACCACATCTACCCAAAGAACTTTGCCTGTCTGTGCCTTGCCTGCCTATGTCCTTAAACCAACATGGCTGCAACCAAAAACCCAGCCTTTCAGGGAAAGTGAGGCACAGGGGGAAACTGAGGCTTGGGAGAAAGTGAGCACAGCTGTCGGTTATGTGTGGAGCAAAGGGTTGGGGGGAGTGTCCAGGAACCCCTGCAGCCCACACATGCCCACCCACCCCAAGTCAGCCCGGTACACCCTGGATCATACGAGCAAAAGAAGTTAATGGACCAGCTTTCTGTGCAAGTTCCTTGAAAGCCACAAAGTGGAAAGCTGCAGACACGAGCAGTCCCAGCTCCCCCAGCTTCTAGGAAACCAGGACCAGGGGTCATGGTTTTCCTCTCCCACTCCAGTGTGGCATTCACCACCTCTGGGTGGGCAGCATAGGGGCAAACCCAAGCGGTCCCCAGGCAGACCAGCCAGAACTAGATTTAAGAAAATAGTTCAGTGAGAAGAATTTATTGCAATGTCGAGAGTCCTGAACACACTGGCTTCCCATAAGCAGGATCAGGCCCGGCCTTGAACCCAGCCCTACCCCTTTGTCATATGGAGACCTCCTCCAGTTCATAGCATGGTCTGTGTGGGGAAGAGAAGGGTGGTGTTTGCTGGCATTGCCTTGGTTATCTCCCTGAACACAACCTTCCTCCTTCGGCTTTGTTTGCTGGAAGCCAGGCTGCAGGTTTACATCTAGTTACCTGGTTTCGCTACAAACAAACCGAGTTCAAAGCACCCACTCCTCCTCACGCCCCTCCTGTGGAGCAGGTAAGACAGGACGCTCTCTCCCTCTTTCTTTCTTTCTTTCTCTCTCCTATGCAGCGTGCTCTGCTCTAGCAGTCGGCTGCCTCTTGACTTTCCCAGAATCACCAAAGGTGTGCAAGTGCAAAGCAGCCCCTCAGGGCTGGGGCTTTTTTTTGAAAACCTCCTTTGACTGAAGAGATGTGAAGCTGACATGCCACTGACAGGCAGCTCCAGGCACTTCCCTGCTGCAAAGGAAAAACGCTGTTTAAAGGAAAGGCAGGGTTTGGGGGGAAGCCTGCAGCAACAAGGACTCTGCTCAGAAAGTCCAAATCTGTGGCATTAACTAGAAAGGCTGGCACTGCTGGTCCTGTCATGGGTGGTTTCACCTGTGACTGAACAGGGTCTTGGACATCTGCCAAGAGGGCTGCTTGACACAGCAAAAAGAGGGGCTTGTGCTAGTGTGGGGCAAATCTTTCTGGGTATTTTGTAGAGGAGTTAAACAGAGCTATTGGCAGTGGTTCTCTTATTATTATTGCCCACTCCTTCCCAGGAGAAGGCTGTGCCGATGGCCAACAAGGCCACAGAACCTCGCGTCCCCATGACCCTGCAGAGGTCACGTCTGAAGGCCGAGGAGAAGACCCTGGATTTTGAGTTTGAGGTGGTGAATGTGCAGTTCAATAAAACGGGAAGATATGCCCTGAGGTTGACTGTGGAGAACCTGCTGCTGGAGGGGTCTGGGGCTGGGGTGAAGCTGCAGGTGAATGAGGGAGACGCCCAGTACACCACCGTGGGGACCACCGACATCATTGAGCAGAGCAACCCCAATGAGATCTGTTCCTTTGAGAGGAGGAAATTTATCTTCACTCTGCCCAAAGGTGAGAGGTTGCGTGCGAGGGGGAAAGGGAGGAAAGGAAGGGACAAGTCCATACAGCCTCACATACGTCTAAACTCCCCAACTCAGAACTTCCCTATTCATTGCTGGTTCCTTGACTGTGAAGGATGGGTCTTAATTGACCTGCAGACTTTGGCTGGTAGTAAAAGGCTTTGTGCAGCAAGCCTAAATACCCAGGCACTTCTCTGCCAATGCTATCTTTGCCCATGAGCAAGCTGGGCTGGATCAGGTTTTGCATAGGGAGGGTTGGATTAGGTTGGGAACTTGAGAAATCCAAGGGACTGTGTGGCTGGACCAGATGTGGGCAGGCAGGATCAACTCTCCAGAGGCAAGCAGTACAATCAGCTCAGGATTTGGCCTGTTGTAACATGTGCTTGTGTGGGTTTTGGGGGCCAGGATTCTGCAAAAATGACAAGAACCACGATGTGCGGCTCCGGATTGAAGCTCTGCAGCTCCATGGTACCTCTATGAAGAACAGCCTCCGGGCAGGGGAAGCCTTCTTTGCCATCTATCCTCGTACCAACCAGCCCCGGATCAACCTCTTTGCCGAGAAGGATGAGGATCTGTACCGTTACGACGATATCATGGCGCTGCTGCGGGTGGGCAATGACAAGCTGGCAATGCACTGTGGGAGATTGGCCTACAGTGTGTGCTTTCATGAGCACCGCCCACCCGTACCAAAGGAAACACATAGTTCATCCCATCAGCTTTCACCCCAGCCATCCACAAAGGAAGAGGGGGCAGGAACACCACGGCCATCATCCCCAATGCCCCTGAAGTCACTGGGAACCCCCTTGCAAGGTCACTCACACATTACTCCAGGAGCATCCACAGACTCTCCTAGACATTTGCCAGCTGTGGACCTCCACACCTCCTCACCAGAGGTAAGAAACCTATGTCTGTGCAGGATGGAAAAGGTGAGCTGCTTCCACAGGGAAAGGATGAGCTGCTTCCCACGGTTAAGAAAGGTGGGTAAGGTGGGCAGTAAGAGAAAAGGTGATCTAAGCACCAGCTATGAGGCACTGAAATGCCTGAATTCAAACTGGGCAGGATCTGCCCAGCCTGCTACCTCTCCAGATGTTTGTCTAGAAAAGGGAATGTGTCACTGGTATAACTTATGGTTGTGACCATCATTCTTCTTCCTCTCTACCAGTGATGCTCCAGGACATTTGTTTGCCACATCTCAAGCCACAGGGGTGCTGCATTTCAGTGTGGTTGTATGTGCTGTGGGCTGAAGCCCCCTGCTAGCCTGTTCCAGAGAATGCATCACTCATTTCTGACCCTGGCACAGCCCTGAGGACCCCACATTTTTCAGCCCCTCCGTGGTCCAGCAGAACCTAGGACTTGGTCCTGCTTCTTTGTGAAACAGTGGCAAAGTGAGGTTAGAAGGTAGGATGGTCTTGCAGGTTGAACACTCCTAGACAAGAATAAGCAAGTCCTTTATCTCACCTGGTTCAAATGGTTCTTCTTTAGCTTTGTTTGAGGTGTGGATCAGAATAGGTCTGTCCATCCCATCCCACTTTAGATGGGATGGTCTTCCTGCTCTCACTTGGTCCAGTGCCTGAGCCCCACTCTGAAGCCAAGAGTCTCACTCCCCAGTTGTGGCGATTTCCCAGGGCCTTCCATTTACTTCAAAACTGATGGTGATTCCTTTTATGTCCCCATTTTTCCCTTTCCTTGCACAGTGATAAACCCTCCATGGTTGAGGTAGAGAGGCCATATGCTTTATAATTTCTCTGGGACACCATCTCTTCTTGCAACAAACAGATGGATCTCATTCTCCATCAGCCTTTGTGTTAATACAATGATCCATCCAACTAACCCTTTATTTACTTTCTGATATTGTCAGGTAGAGTCTTCTGTGGAAAAACCCCAGAGAAGCTAGAAGTCTGCTAGGACAGATTGCCCATGAAACCTTGTGTAACAAGGTGCCCTGCCTTTTTAAGGGCCAGGAGGCTTGGGGTTGGCCAGCAGAGCATAAATACCACACTCAGCTAGGAAGTAGCTAGATGTTTCCTATAGGGCTCTGAAAGAGTCAGGGTAGGAGGGGATTAGGCTTTGAAGTGGTTCTTGGTACATGGGGAGGAAGTTGCTTGAAGCAGTTAGCTTGGTAGGAGTAGAGGAACTGGTTGCTTCAAAGCCATATTAAAAATTAACTCTCTGCCCTGGAAGAGATCAGGCTGGAGCAATGAGTCCTCCCTGATCTGAGGGAACAAGGCAGCTTCTGTGTCTACAGGTAAGGAGCTGATTACACTTCTGCTTATGGAGTGGGGTCCTGGGCTATGGAGAGATGGCGATCCCAAGTGAGATGAAGAATCCCCTCCCCCAGGACCCTGGGGGTCCCATTGGGAAGACCTATGGGTCTGAGATGACAAGAGCTGCCCCAGGGATAGCTGCTGTATGGTGTGCCTTCATTAGAGCGACAGCCCTAACAGAAGCCAAGTTCTTACTCAGCTGAGCACCATGGGCCCCAGCTGGGATGGTGAAAGTGTCATCGCTCTACAAGAAAATCCAGTGGGTCAGTACTGTGGTCAAGGGCCAGGTCTCAGCTGCTTCATCTCTCTTTAAACTCTATGGAGCCCTGACTCTGGAGGAGTTTGTGTGGGGGATTGTTATCAGAGCCGATACTCTCCCCCGATATTGCCTGGTCCATGGGTGGAGGTGTATAGTAACAGACCTGCCGTAGGATATGGTGGGCTAGTAGGGAGAAAAACAGGACAGGCCATTCTGTATCACTGCTCCCTCCTGAAATATGGTTTGTTGTCATCTTAGCAGATATCCAAGCTACCTGTTGAGCCTGACCAAGACTCCTCCCCAGATCTAGAGGATGATTCAGCAGATGAGGCACTCGCTTCTTCCTCCTCTTCACCAGCTATGCCAAGGCAATTACCAAGCAATGCCAGTTTTCACCTCTCTTCACCAGGATACAGCCCAGATCTGGACTGCCAACCCTTCTCTGAGATGCAGGTTAGTGATGGGTCCACCTTCCTTAGCATCTTGATCCCTGGGTACAATGCCAGGGAGTGCATGCAGTTTGGGAAGACATATGATGTCTCATTCAATCTGCTCTGCTCTCCATGCAGCCTCCATTTGGAGTGGAAAGGTTTTACCTAGAGTCTAGACTGTCTAGTCCATTCAGTGGTGGACCAGGATAGCATGATCCAAGTAATACACTGCCCACAGCAGTGCTCTGGTCTCCTGGGAGACTGGTCCACAGTCTGACATTCCCTGCCAATCTGTTTGTGCATGATGCGAAGCTAGCAGCGTTAGGTTGGGAATGGATTTGCTCTATCTTGGTTCTTTTGCCTACATCCTCCTAACTCAATTCCACCAGCCCACTGTATTGTTTGTACCCTCTCTATGGCAATCTAGGGATGATAGAGATAAAAATGGAGGCCTTGGAAGTCCAGGGGATGAATCCAATATTGGAAGTGAGACAAAATGTGTCTGCTGACCCCTGCATGCTTCCCAGTGACTGGCTTCTGAAGAGAAACCCAGAGAATTCCTTGGCCTCCAGCTAACCCCTGTTATCAATGCTGAGAAATTCCCAACCCAGAGCATGCATTCATGTCTTGCCTACAGAAGTATGTCTGTGAGCCCAGCACTGTAACATGTGAGTGCTTCAAGCAGTGATGTATTCATCTTGGCAACATCTCTGAGGGAGGGAGGGGGGAGATATAGCTGAGGCCTTTGGTTCTGTCTTTATATGATTAGCAATAGCACTATTAATATTCAGAGCTGCTGCTGCTGACTGAGCAGATTCTAGGAACCAAAGCTCCCAAGGGCCCCTGACCTCACTCCTTTCCTTGCCCTGTGGAAATCGCAGTCAATGAGGTCTGTAACACCTCCACTTAGGGAGCGCTTGGACTGGCACCATTTAATGTGGAT